GTTCTCAAAAGAAAACATTAAAAATAGGCTGGGGATGCATAGGTCCTGGGTTCATCCCCAGCACTGTGAAAAAATCAATCATTACTCAGATTCTACAAAGTTGCTTTACTGCCCAATGTGGTGGCGCACACCTGTAATCCCAGCACTGGGGAGGCTGAGGCAGGGGGATTGCTGTGAGTTTGAGCACAGCCTATGTTACGAGTGAGTTCAAGGCCAGCCTGAACTCCATAGTGAGACCCTGTCTCAAAAAGACAAAAAAAAGTTGCTTTACTGCAACCACATTTTTGGTATCAGGAATCAAACTCCGGACCTTGTGCTTGCCGGGCAGGAACTTGTGCCGCTGAGCTACATCCCTGGCCTGCAACCACGTTTTTGAAGAGCGGACAGAAAGTCAAACGTCCACAGAGTGAATCAGAGGAAAAACCAGGCGGTGGGTCAACTGCAGCCCCAGCAGCACAGCACAGTGAGGGGTGCACCTTGGGCTCTGGCTGCAAATCAAATCCAACACACTAAGCTTTACTCAGCACTAAGACTCCACTTAATAAGGTGCTTCTTCCCAGAGTTAAAATCAAAGTCTTCAGGTGCTGGAGTCTAACGAAAGACCCTCTCAGGAGGAGAACCTGGGGTCATACTTACCGATGACTCTGTAATGAAATACCATTAATTGTCAGTCACTACATAACAGATGAGATCATGTGAGAACTACGATCTCTGCAACGAGGCTTATTTTTACTTTCAAGACACTGTCATGGGAATACTGTATTATCACTACAAAAAGCTTCGTTAGTAATCCCCCCCAAAATTTACTTCCAGTGCATTTCTGCCCTTATTTATCGGCATTTTATCAATTTTAATCCATCTTTTCCCTAGTGTTGTTTTAATCAATCTAGTCACCCTTGTTTGAAAAAAATCAAACCCCAACTGTTATTTTTACACGTGAGATTATAAAATTAACTAGTCTCCTACTTTTTCTGCATTAACTTTTCAAATTAATACATGATTCATGCACTATCCTGTATGCGACAGTGACAGAATAACTTCTCAATGTTCACAAAATCTTTTCTCAGTGTGTGGGAGACAGCGATAGCAACATGGATTGCTTCTGGCACTCTTATGCAGAGAGAACCCACTTTATCTCTTTTCCAGATTACTCAGATTCAAAAAACATGGGTTAGGAAAATAAACTCTTTTTATCTCGACTGATAGCAAGAAAAACCAGATATAGTTATTCTATAAGACCTTCAATTAATAGCTACTTCCAAAAATCACTTTATACTGTATCACAGCATATGGGTAAAAAAAAAAATTCCTTAGCTAGAGCAATAGAGCAAAATGTATTAGGGGGTTAAAAGAGTTATATTCAAATCTATACTCAATTTTAGTTTCTACTTTTTTATTTTTACTGGCAATTTATTGAGTAGCAGAAACTTGCATCAGTGCTTTGAGGCTGATCATTCCCAAAGAGTTAGAAACCACATGAGGTTGATGTTTAGCACTGACCCACTGTGTCACCGAAGTCAAGCCAAGGTCAGAGGAGAAGTGAACTCCTTTGCCTCCCAACTCGCCTGTCATGCATTACGGAACCCTGCTCTGTACAGCTCCTGGGGAAGAGCAGAGGGGAGGGGAAACTTGCTCTCTATCCTGTGAGGGTTTAGTGACTGAGAGCGTCTGAAATAATGAAACTGATGAAACTGACATCTGAAATAACTGAAATTATTTCAATTATTGACAAACTTTCAATGGGCAGAACAATAGGATGAAGATACACAAGCTGGCTATGCGGACAGAAAGAAGAGGAAATAACCCTGAACTCGGTGAGATGCAGAAACGTACACACCTTCCTCACAGGGCCGAAGAAATGATTCTGGGAGTGAAAAGTGGGCCCAAAGAACAAGCGGCAGCCTGTGACGGTGTCTCTGGGCGCGTCACTTCCAGCCCTCTCCTGCGACCCCAGAGGAGGCACAGGTTCATGGCTTCCCCGGGGGCAGATGGAGGCAGGTAAGCGGAGTTCAGAGAACACCCCACCCTGATTTGCTGCTCCCCAATTCGGTGTGTTCTCAGGTGGAGTTTCCTGAATTCCTTCACGTGCAACAGGTAACAAAATATTTCAGACACAGCTTGTTTTCAAGGAACTTAAGAAGTTACCGGAGTAAGTTGGTGAAAATGCTGGTGATCAGAATGAACAGAATGTCTTACAAATGAAGAGAGAGAAACCTGACTCTAAGCTCACACTGAGTAAAGGCCCCAGGAACGGTCAGCGACCTCTGAAGTGTGAGACTGCAGAGGCCTTTAAGTTCTCCATACATTATGATTCAGGTTTTTACAAGCATATGTTATTGTAATCAGGGAGAGAAAGAAGAATCGAAATAATATGTCTATGAATAAACACTGCAAGGGAACAAACGAGCAGAAAATGTACTGTGATTCACACGTGCATTTCAGCCTGTTTTCAAGTTACTGTGTTTTTCTAATAGCATTTTAACAACAGATTTAATTCAACAGTAAAAGCAGTACATGGAAAATTTGAGATCTTTGATTTGATTAATCTAATTTATTATATATTTACAGTCAAAAGAGCTGATTGTCATTTTTATTTCTAGGTAAAGAGTAGGGTTATGAAAATAATTAAGGTGCACCTTCTATTTCTGACTTGATTTCTTCTTTTTGTGGTACTGGGGGTTGGACCCAGGGTCTTGGCACTGAGCTACATTCAAGTGTTTAAAAAATGTTTAAATTATTATTACTATTGTTTTAATTTTGAGAAAGGGTCTCACTAAGTCACTAAGTTGCTGAGGCCAGGTTGAAGCTTACAGTCCTCCTGAATCAGCCTGCCAGGGTGCTGGGATTACAGGGATTATACCCTGCCATGCCAGGGTGTGTAACATACTTTTTCTAATTCTTGCATGACGCTCAGTCTAGATGGAAGACGGTAGAACAAACCCCTATCAATCTACGTGTAATGATCTATTTCATTGTCATCTGTTACTAAGGTAACTGTTCATCATTAAAATGTAACTTGGCCATTTATAGTCCTAATCTCCCAATGCTTTCATCATGTTAATATGTTGTCCTGGAAAAACAAGAAAATGAAAACAACTTCTGTGTCCCAGAAAAACATCAGCAGCCAGGACCTTCCTGTTCTGAGGAGGCCTTGCCTGGAAACGGGCTGGGCTGCGGGCAGGGCCTGGTGGTATCGGTGACCGTTTCTCAAATTCAGCATCACTCTAGGCTGAATCTTTCTTTCTGTGAATGGCAAAGACTGTGGAATCTCTGTAGCTTTTCTTACTTAGTACGACTCAACTGTCTAAGTGAAAAAACTCCGACGATGACAAGAAATTTCCTCCTAATGAAGGCTGGCGTCCTCTGGCCATGGACAAAGGGTGCCTGGTACTTGCTAACTCCATTTAAAACCCAAATTATTTTGTGAAATTAATTGTGAGTTTCCAAGTATCCTTTAAGCACAATTAAATTCATTTAGTCAGTCTGCAAGACAATGGGGAACCGAGGGGGCAGGGCAGGTTCTGGAGCCCGTCCTGCCCCCAGCTCAATGAGCCAGTGAAACCAAGAACAACCCTGTCAGCTATTCTGGTTCTAATTAAGGCCAGATTCAAAATTTCGTTTTCATGATAGTGGTGTTTAGATTTGAGACTTTTTAACATTTTTTTTAAATGACATTTAGATACTTCTGTCTTGTCAGTTATGTTCCTCAGAGTCTGAATAACTAAGGACACTGTAAAACGAAGAACCAGGTGTAGGACGTGGAGCCACAGACAAATGTACCTGCACCAGTGTGGTCATCCTGACACCGCGCACACTGACACACGCTTGAAGCGGGTAACGGGTGGCCCCTCCACATGCGGCAGGACTGCGTGTCCCCCCCGGATGGAGCACACGCGGCCAGCAGTGTGTGCGGCTACACAGCACAGCTTCCCTGTGGGTTCACACAGACTGAAAATGTCTTCAGCCGCACTGAGCCAATACGGCAGCTTCTGAACTTTGGACAGAATTGTTCCACTTTGTTTGCAAAAAAAATCATAACTTTATTCTTGTTCATATCCAAGAATTTAAGGTTTCTGTTTAGTTTTGGGTGGTACTGGGGATTGCACTGAACTACATCCCAGCTACTTTTATTTTTTTGTTAATTTTGAGACAGAGTCAGGCTAAGTCCAGAAGCTGCCCAAGCTGGGCTCAAATTTGTGATCCTCCTGCCTCAGCTTCCTAGAGTGCTGAGATTACAGCCAGGCACCACCACATCTGGCCCTAAAACTTTATGTTAAATGTTATTTTGATGAACTTCTTAGAAATTATTACAAAGCAAAATATTTTCATTTAAAAAGTCAAATATGAGAAAACCTTCTTCTTGGTTCTGTAGCAGTTCAAACTGGCCCCTAAATTATTATTCAACAAATAAACAACACATCACCCTGAAATGCTCAATTCTAGTGGAGTGGGTTGGGGTGGGGAGTTAGTTACAGAGATCACTCCAAGAACCAAGCTGTGGGATAAGCGACCAATGGGAAATTAGATTAGCCTATGTTATGCTTTGTGTCAGAATGTGCCCTCAAAGCCTCATGCAGTCATGGGGTGGGCGTCTAGAGTTTATGATGGGTCCATGGTCCAATGCTGGGATTATGGATGTGAGTGCTACACTTGCCTGGGGTGAGTAGTCTGCACACAATATAAGGGAGGGAAAGAGCCTTGCTCTCTGCCACTCCTCCCTTTTGCTCTTGTTGCTTTGCTATCTTCCAGCACCATGAGTTGTTGCCCTCTGCCATGTGCCCCTCTGCCTTGGAGCCAGCCAAGTATGGACTGAAACCTCCACAAACTGTGAGCTAAATAAACCTTTCCTTCCTTCATTTTGGGTTCTGGGTATTTTGTCCTAGCAATGAGAGAAAAGTAACCAAGACAGCCTCTAGTTAATTATAATTTCCCCTGCACCACTATGGACATGAAGGCAAAACTCAAGAAAGAACCCATAAAAAGAAATGATGCAGACCAACCTTTTATTGCACCCACAATATTTTGGTCTAGTCCTTTCCGGTTGTCATTCAGTCCTCTTTTCCTCTTCCCATTGGGTAAAGAATTAGCCAAAGTCTTGTCATCAAAAAATGCACACACCAGTTTTCTAAACAGAAGGCTTCCTGAGCGAGTGTAGTTTGACAGTATAGAGTCCAGCTGAGATTTAGGCATAAACACGTCAAAGCCTTCGGCAAGTTGCACTTCTGGCTACCGAAAGAACAGAAATATTTTATTAGAACCAAGATTTGAGGCATCTGACTTTGGGAATCAGTACAACAAAAACAACTGCAGCTGACACATCCACATCACGCAGGTATAACACCGTCTGAGCTGTGTGCACCAGGATTTGCAATTTAGAAAACCAGTGACTGCTTTAATTCATGAACAAAATGTTTTAATTCCAACATTAAATCTTATCAGCAGCCATGAGAAAGAGTACTCTGAAAAGCATTCCTGTTCTTACAAATGGTTAGAAAGTCAGGTAGTCATAAGACACTAGAGCTCAGGGGATTCAGCCTTCTGTATGAAACACCCTCTTTTTAACAGAAGGAGCTAAGGCCACAAGAGAGCATAACAAAACTGACCTGCAAATAATCCAGATTAGGGTCTGGTGCATTACTGCTTACACCACTTCCTCACACATTAAAACATTTAACTTCTTTAAGTCCCAAACATGGGACGAGCCTACGGTCTGCGGTTTCTACCACACCAGTGATCGTTATCTATGGAACCACTTTTTCCCCAATGAAAACTTAGGTGAAGTTACAGAAAATACATAAAAATGACGGCAGTTTCCCAGCAAGGTTTATCCACTTCCCGGCTCTACTTTTGGGAAGAAATGCTGAAGCCGTGTCCCTGAGCACCCTAGAAAACCAGTGCGCTAGCCTCACAGCGTCAGGAAATCCCTGACAGGGATACGCGGTCAGAAGACCTACAGCTGCCTTCCAGCTTGGACACCGTCGTGCAGTGATAGAAATCCAGACACATAGCATTCTCTACCAGCATTCCGCGGGTGTCCGCAACTGGCCTTTTCTCCTGCGACCAGCTCACACGCTTTCTGCACAAAGCCTTTCCTGCCTCCTTCTCACCACGGAGGCAGCCACAGTCTACCGTTGTTCATCTGACATAGCCCACAACTGTGTTTATTACACTGTGCAGGGCACGTCCTATGCCTGTAGGGTCTGGCATACAGTAGCACTGCATCCATTCTTATGAAATCAGCAAAATTTTATTCATTCTAATCTAATAAATGACTAAGTCATTTACTATTGGTTATTGCCTAATAATTTTTTTTGTATGCATCTTTTTGAGACAGGGTTTTGCTATGCAGTTCAGGTTGGCCTTGAACTTACTTTGTAGCCCAGGCTGGTGTCAAACTCAGTGTTCCTCCTGCCTCAGCCTCCTGAGTGCTGAGATTACACGTGTGCACCACCACACGCAGCCCTACAACATGACAACTTTAATAGCTCACTATGAAGAAATATAATTGGCAACTTTTATTATCAAAGAGTCAGAAGAACGCTTCATTTCCATAAGCTGTATATACTACCAAAGCTCATTACTAGATGGCATGTGTGCCATTTTACAAACTCGGCGGTACTTTAGGTTTTCTAAATCACATGAGAAATGTGAGGATTGGGATTAATTTCTCTTCTGGAAAATAAGAATTATCATTTTGGTTTTTAAAATGCTCAGCACGTAACAATCTACCTGAAGAGAGCTCAGGGTATAACCTAGACCAGCGATGGTGAACCTTTCCATGATACAAGCAGGCCGGCTTGCATGCGCGCCACAGGTTCGCACAACTGCGCTAGGCTATGTGGATGCCTCAGGAAGGAGCCTGGGCCCTGCCCTTCAAAATGCAGTCTTGACTGGACTATCCTGAAGTCACCTCATTCCTTGGCTGCACTCTGCCTCTCAGTATTTGGTTTCTGAATGCTTGGTAAATATCACCGGAAAAGCAGTGCTGTCAGACCCCCTCAGCCTCTGCATCTTGCTTTCTGGTCAAAGGTCCGGAGAAGAGCTGACGAGAGCCTGCAGCTGAATACCTAATTCCCAGAACAAGGCCGGCACATACCAGGCATTCAAGAAATATTTGCCCAATGATGCAACGTTGAAATATTAGGACTGAATCTTATGATCGTGATCTAAAGATGAAGTTTCATTTATAAACATTTTAATTGGGTATGTTCTATCACCTTTTATTCTAAATGAACTGATCTCTGGTTTTTGCTAAGTGTTCTATCCTATGAAAAGCATTTAAAAAATCCAGGTGTATCTTACAGCAATTTGAAGGACTAAGATGTTACAGAAATGCAAGAAAGGACTCTAACTTATCTCACTCCCATAATCTGGTTTGATTCTGATACCACTAACCAGGCACCCAAAGCTCAGTCACTTGACTTCTGAACTCCCAGAACCTTCCCTTCGATCCATCCTGGGAGACCTGGACCCTGACCTGAGAAACACTGACCTGAATGAGCCACCAGGCAGAACTAACCACTCCTTTCTTCATGAACTCGGACAGTGTGTAAGAAGTAGGCTCACGGGGCTCTCCACTCTGCATTTATTCAGTAGGGAGCTGGCGCTTCTCACCAGGAAGAGCACTCTTCTGTATTCAGCATGCCAAGCACACATGCCAAGCAGTGGATGTCAAATGAGCAAAACACCGTGTCAGATTTCAAGATGACCCACGCAGACCCAGAGCTCTCCTGTCCCTGCATAAAGCAGGGGACTTGCGAGCCTGTGGCTCCCTGGCCGGTTGTTGCAATGCCTTCTGAGAATACTTCAGGTGCTGCTGCAAGAGGAGACGGGGTTCATGGTGCACGCTGAGCACCTCCCGTGGGGACTCAAGGCCGGCTCTGCAGCTGAGACGCACACGCCTCAACACCTGTCACAGGAAGTAGAGGGACGAGTGCCACGAGACAGGCACAGAGCACGGGCTGCTGCTGGCACTCGGCAGGGCAGGGCTGCGGGGCACAGAGGCAAGGGGGCTCCGGGGACAACGGGACAGCATTCTGCAGGGCCTTGACGGTAAGAAGACAGGGGAGAGGGGCTGCTGCGGCATCTGCTGTGATTCCTAAAACCACCTGGAGCTTCCTGTGGAGTCAGGACTCCCTGTGGCATCCTAACAGCGCTGGGGCTCTGAGGTGCGTCCAGGCCAGAAGCTGTCCGCGCCTTCTGTTCCACCTTCTACTGCCGAACACTGTTATTTTCAACTGTCCTTTCCAGACCAAAGGGCCCGAGCTAAGCAGCTCCCAGACACCTCACAAAGGAGTAAGCAGCTTGGTGAGCTGCGGCCGTCAGCAGCAGCCAGGGCAAAGGTAGCGAAGCCCTGTCCCTCCCGCCCTGCCTGGCTGCTTCCTGTTCAGACCTCTTCGCAGACAGGCACGAGTGCCCAGGCTGCCTACCATGTGCCACAGAGCAGCAGCTCCTTAAGAACTGGGTCGTAGCTTTATTTTCCGAAATAGGAAGAGAAATGATGTTAATTAATCTCCAATTGCTACCGTACCTCTTTTATTTCTTCCATCTTATATAAATAATCATACCCCATTACTCCCATATAATCATCCACAACTCTGTACATACATTTACAAACAAGTTAAAACTCTGTAATTGTATCTATATCTTTGCTGGCTGTAAATAAGAGCTCTCTGCCTACGAGTAATAGTTATGACAGAACAAACGCTATTCAAACCAGTATCAGTCACAAAACTAGACTTTCCTGGATGGATTCACTAGTTGAGACTCAAGCCAAGGCAGAGAGCTGATACACTAATGTGCAGAGTTTACTGGTTACTGAAGCAATACAATCTTTTAACGATGACATCCAAATCACAGGGCAAAATTTACAACTCTTACAGTCATCATTCTAAGGGTGCAGAGTCTGAATTCCCGCCGTGCACATAGTCTTCCGAGTACGTCCTGGCTATTTTGGGTCCCTCAGCCATTGTACCGCAGCAGTTACCAAGGTCTGACTTCTCTTAATCTGACCCTCCTCCAGCTTACATGCGTGAGTTCAGCAGGGAGAGGCTGTGTACAGTCCTTACACCCTCAGAAAACGTCCCTGCAGCCAGGCCTGCCCACATTAACTACTTCATTTCTCTGCATTTCAGCGGTGGTCTCCCTTTATCTAGACTCAGGGTTAAAATCTACTTGGACTGAAGGATCCTCCAATCAGGTAAATAAAAGGACTCCCCACCTAAGTCCCTATGAGCGTATCATGGACTCCCCTGTTAATTTAAACAAGCAAAAATGGTAACATACCTTGAAGATCATACAAATTAATCACACAGGGAACATAATCTAGCATACGCTGTTTTATATATGGTATCACCAACACAGAATAATAGTGAAATGTGCAAAAGGCTACAGGTGGTCACTGGGTGAAAGAATAGAAAGAAGTGCAGAAATACTCACATTGAGCATTAGCCCCAGATTTTCAATTGTGAACTAGTGAATTATGCACATAGTTTGCAAGTTCTGTGTTGTGTAACACCCACACTTAGAGGCACCTTCACAGAGTTCTCTGTATGAGATTATGTGGTGGTGAGGGCTAAAAAGGGCAGGCTGCCTAGTAAAGTCTCAGACAGGCTCAGGACTCAACCCTGACAGAAAACTATGGAGGAAGAGCTGGACTGTGGACATGGTGAACTTTTGATTGAAAATGTGAATTAGGACAGGTAAGACTATTTAAAGGATATGAATGCATATCATATACAGCGATTCTTGAGGCTCGCTATTTCTTCAGAAGTATAGTAGATATAAAAAGTAAACCACAATTTATTTAATTTTGCACGTCACCTACTTCTGTTTGATAAAAATTAAAATAATTTCTTATAAATCAGGTCTGATCCGGGTAGACTGACTGTTCCCATTTATTAAACGTGAGGTCAGAAACACAGCCGTGGAGCACCTGAGGCCGGAGGAGGAGGACTGCTCGGGGGCCCAGCCAGCGCGGCTGTTACTGTTACACAGCTCCGAGCGGGTGAGCCTGGGCAATCCCGGTGCCGACGGGCACTACGGCTGCACGGCCTCCATCAAGACCAACACGGCACTGCAAGTTCCGCAGGAAGTAATTTTCTGCTCAGCCAAAAGTTCTACGAAGAAAGGTCATCGATACGCTAGCACGTATTTAATGTTGGGTAGGACAAAACTTAAATCATTGTAAAACCAATTCTTTACAGACTTCTTATTTGATAGAACGA